GTTGCGTGTCGCTTCGCGTTGGATTTTCGTCGATGTTAAGCCTAACAAAGACTATTGTATCGTTAAAAATTATTTTTTTTATTTTGTACAAACAAAATAAATATATTGAAAAATATAAAAACAATAAAAAATTATACTTCAGATGTTAATTTAGTACCAAAAAAGTAAAATATTTGAGTAGCCCAAGACATAGCCAAAGATTGAAGCACCATAGCACTGGCGAAAATTTAAATTTGCCGACTGGAATTCTTTCGGATGGTTGACGTTTCGGATGATTGACTTTCGGAAAATCGACGCTCTACTGTATATGAAATCAGTTGTTAAACGAATTGCCATATTTAGAGTAAGTGTAATGCCAACGAGCAATTGTTTATTGTGACATCGTCAGGATGCAGTGCTGCAATTTTTAATCGTATTCTTCATTTATTCAATTTAAAATATATGTTTTCTACTTCAAATTTTTGCCCCTGTTTGTCATACTTTTCCTGATAACAACAGAGTCGTGCCGATCATCCATGTAACTCCATTCAGTCTAGACCGGACGATCGTATAAAATTAATTGAGCCTCCTGCTCCTAAGTCTTCCATATCTGCTCGCGACTTTTATCTACCTAACACCGTTCTCCAGATTAAAAAAAAAGGGCAGACACACAGACAGATGACCCACAGTGCGAATTTATAGATGTACAATTTTTTTAAATTGCAGCCCAACAATTGAGATTACTTGATTGATAGGTGAGAAAGACAATAAAAGAATCAGATTATCGCTCTGAATATGTTCATAATTTTCTGGACGGAGTAAACTCGGACATCTCACAGTTTCCTCATTGTCTGCCTGATCGACCTCGTAATAGGTTTGTAGAAAGACCTCATTTATGCCTGCACCACACAGTAATTTAAGTCTAAAAAAAATTCAGATTACGTTCTTGTAAATGCAATTCTGACTAGATTATATCATGCAGAAGTGACCAATAAACAGTTTGGTACTTAAATTAAAACCTACAATTATAGGGCCTAGTATTTGATAATGGTCAAAACTTCTCATTTTTAAAAATTCAGCAACGAGGTGCTTATCTTTCTCGGCAAAATTTGGTCTCACTGTGTGTTATCATATTTTATTACAAAAACATTTTATATTTTTAACTATCATAAAATGGCAATAAGCTTAATTTTGAAGGTAGGGATGAGTTTTATAAAAAAAAATTGTAAATGTTAATAACAAGCAAGATCGTCACTAAGTCTGGTCCTACTGAAGATACACGTGACTACTTTTATCTTCCCACCCTCTCGATTTTTAACCACCAAAATTTAACAGAATATCTCACCCTTATAAGCAAACCTCCTTGCGAAATTTCAGAAATATTCGACAAAAAGCACAGGAGTTATTAAGCTTCAAAGAGAGTGAGTGAAACTGTGTCCCCACACACACTAACATGTACAGTACGTACAGAAGAAACCCGAATTTTTTTTTTGCATTTTAAGGTCCCGAGTATGTAAAAATCTGTAAATGTAAAAATCTGAGAAATGTAAAAATCTTGGGGGGGGGTCAGTTTTTGATCGATTTCCATTCTTTCCTTCTAATATATAATAGCCAGGAAAGTAAAAATGAAACTACAACACCCAATTCCTCAACTATAGCAATGTGAAAATAAGCTGTGTAAACTACAAATTCCAAACTTTTGATTTTATGACAGGTATTTTTGTTTTCGCTTGTGGACATAAATTCGGTTTTACAATCATTTACGCTATTCAATATCTATATAAACGTGCAACAAGTTATAGAAAACAGTTGATTTATAGCATACTAACGAAGAGGGTGACAGCAAATACGCATCCACTGTAAGTAAGCATTAACTTAATGAACAGTAAGCTATTTTTATTTTCTTATACAATAATTTGATTATATCGTGTTTGTTAATATTTCAGTTAATAATAAAATTTACTCTGAAAATCGTCATTATGATTAAAGCCAGTAAGTAAATCTATATTACAATACGAGCAATTATTTGTTATGAATTTTTAATATTTTTACTTTATTAAATTTAAAATATATCATCTCCGCCTCAAATTAGTAGTGTTTTGCCCCTGTACATCATACTTCTTCTGCCATCAGTAAAGCCATGCCGGTCATCTATTAACTGCTTTCGGGGGGGGGAATTTTTGAATTGAAATAACGTGACTTCTGTGTTGCAGCGGAAATTTAATTATATACTTACTCGGGCTTTTTCACCTAAGGTTTCCAAACCTTCTCTCTTCTGTTATCTTTCTATCTTCGTTCTCGACATTAAGGAAAGACAGTCAGACGGACAACAGTGGGTATTTATAGGTGTATTTTTTAAATTACATCATAATTATATATTTATATACATTTAATATATTTGTCTCCTCTGTTTTCAACTCCTTAAAATCTATATAAATAATATATTATTTTGTTTAACGATATAAAAAACAGTCGAACACTGTTTATACGTTTTTCGAAGGAATTGAAGAATTTAAGCTAAATCCTTATCGATATTGTGAGCTAGATAATAGATTTCTTTAAACAAGGATTCCTTTCGGTAAAATTGCATAGAAATTCTAATATTGTCTACTTTATTTATAGTTTGAATACTTCAGTCTTGATACTCACCAGTTATTTCGGGATTTTCACAAAATTTATTTACATATTTCTGTTGAAAATGTCATCAATTCACTCAACCTAAAATGGATTTGATTCAGTTTATCGTCGTAAAAATCATCTATCTGACTTTCCTTCTTTAATCTCGAGAATGGAGTTAGACAAATGGGCTAGAGGATACAAAAGCTTTCAATTTGGACCGTAACACATTTTAACTCAAATATGTTTTCCTAAAAAGGTGTTAGATACATTATGTTCGCAACTCTATTGTTAGAGGAAAAGTATGATGTATAGGGGCAAGCCACTATTAATTTCAGGCGGAGAGCTTATGTTTTAAATAAATTATTATAAATGTAATTAAGAATTGCAACCGGCATCGTGAAGTTTTCACAATAAATAGCTCTTTATCTTTTAATTTTTCTACAGGAATATCATATTCACCAAAGCTGGAAAATGAAAGATCTGAATACTTTAAACTTTAATTATTTATGTTAATCAAGATGTTAATTTTTGAAAATGTAATCAATTAATAAATAATTTGTTTTATTTATTTTTTTCTATGTTTATGAGTTTTTGAATTTGTCCACATTGATTTCAATAGTTCAATTATTAACAAAAAAATTTAAAAACAGTACCTTAACACAATAATAAATAACGTAAAATATTAAAAATTTCCTATGAAAATTTTAATTGGGAATTGAAAAAGTTATAGGAATTTTTAAGTTTCAAAGACTCAAACCTTTAAATGTTTTAAAAAGACCGACTTAAAGTTTTAATCCGTTTAAATTTTATATGCCACGTTCGATTTAATGATTTTGGTTTTCTTTTGGTTAGCTAAAGACATCGTTACACGAGGGTGATTAGCCAACGGGTGAAAGCCTATTTGTTTGGAGAAATTTCTCTGGGAAACCGGCCCCTATTTAATTGTTACACACGTGTAGAAAACTCGGGAAACGGTAAATGACTGACACTACACGTGCAACCCCTCTGGTGTTTCGTCCCAGACTCGCATCCGGTTCAGTGAAAGTGGGAAACACCACTGAACAGATTCGCATGTGTTTACATGCGAATCTGTTTAGTGGTTTACCACTGTTTGGAGGTTTCTAAAATTTAACTGAATTATCACGGTTTGGCGAATGAAATTTATTTTAAATCCGCACGAGTTTTCGCTTTCCCATTTTACACCGATGGTGCTGTTTGTCAAACACCAATCACAGTCTGATCGTGTTTAATGCCGAAATGGGATGCATAGTTTCATAATCCTCGTGAGGAGTTTCTGAAATATTTTTGTATCCATAATTAAAGCCTTAGTTTTCAGAAATAAGTGTGGGCTAGCCGGGGGCATGGAGTTTTGATAGCATTCGTATGCCACTTAGTTGGCAACTAGTCTGTAAGACTAGCCGGCGGAGTCGAAGGATGGCTTGACCTTGTTAAAGAGCAGAAATTCGTATGAACCCGTGCAGGTTTGTTTTTCCTGACACCAGCCTAGTTATAGCGTTAGGCACGCTAACATTCGTTCGCGAGGAATTTCGAATGGAAGGGTCGCGAGTAAGCGGAAAGGCTGTTTGCTCGGATTCGAGTCATGAATGAGACCATGTTAAAACAATAAAAAAGATTTAATAAAAACAAAATTTAATAGATAATTACAATAAAATACAAAATTAAAATAACTAAATATTGCATCTAAACTGGAAAGCGTTAATACTATAATAATCCATAATATGAGAGATGACCAGAGAGTTTACAAACGATATTATATTATATCACATCTGTGATAATTTGCCTTATGCGATTCATAATCTTAGGCGGAATTACTTGTATGAGAAACTATGGCACTTAGTTAAACAAGGACATGCTGAGGCGCTGAAGACCTGAAGTGCCCTGGGTTTAGCGTGTATCCCCTATTTATTCTTTTCAATTTCTCCAGATCTTCCAATGGAGATAGAGCTTAGAGATCATCTGACTGGGTGTCATGATGAGTCTTTTGGGCTTTAGTCAGCCATTTAGTCATGGGAGATAAAGATCGCTCTCGGGAACTGACTGCCAACACAGGATACATTTATTCCTTGTTCGCTTTGATTTTTAGCTTTGAAAAAAATTTATTGAAATATAATATTTAATTTTTAAACAATTTTCTATGTAATTTTTAGAATATTTCAGCTTAAAATATTTAGATTCTCACATAAGTAAAACACATTTAACAGAATTTATTGCAATACGGAAATATAAACAGAAATCTTCATATAAATAAACATTTAAAATTAAAAAATATTTGTATATTTTTAACAGAACATTGTTCAGATGTAGAGTGAAACGATTCGCGTTAATTTAATTTACACATACCATATATTTCGAAGCCCTAATTTTGATACTTCTATGTCGAAACAAAGACTGCACCCAAAATTTTCTTCAGCAATTCCTTATCTAATTTTATAATATAATATACATAAACTATAAATATGTTGTACGGCATAAACGTATAATTTTGACGAGTTTAAAATTTAAATGTAGGAAAGGTGATGAAAACACGGTAAATGCACTTGGCCAGCCCGTTGTCCCGGCGCGAACCAACGACCAAATAGCAGAGTTTAGTTGTTTCATTCACACTACCACTGCTAAGCACAAAGAATAAATGTGGAAAAAAATACATTTTAGAAATATTTCTCATTCCTTCTACCGGGTGAAGTTAGTGACAGAAAATAAATTCTATTTTAAGCCACGGAACCATCGTCAAGGTCTCACCCTTCTCCGTGGGTTTTTTGTTTGTCCAGAAACCCCGTAATGTCTAGGCAGCATCCACATTACGGGAAAAACTGGAATCGCCCCATTTCCACAACACAGAGATTCAAAACTTTGTCTAAAACTATTATTACGCATTAGAATGATGCATCATCCGAACAACGCACTACCTGAAAGTCCGTATATAAAATAAGAGTAAAATCATAAGTAATCCATTAGCAATACGCTAATTATGGACACATACAGTACTTCCTTTTTGGACGACTTGAAACCTGAAAAGGAAAAGATTTCACATTAATAATAACTCTTGCAATGATCAAAAATTGGATTTACACTTATCTCTCAGTTGTGAAGATTCATGTACGAGTAATAGAAAAAGTTGGTAACAAACATTAAACTTCGAGATGAATTTTTCACAATAAAATAATTCTAACAAAAGAGATTCATTGTTACTTCATATTTATTATTAAAGCATTGTTTCAATTCAATTGTTTTTTCTAATTACAAGGTTTTTAAAACAAAATTACTTAAATATAACATGTACATAAATAAATTAAAATAAATATAATTAAAATATGGTTTTATTTTTCAAAATATTACATTGTTTTTGTGTTTTCGAATGCACATGCATATACACTACGCAGTAGACGGGCAGAAAAGATTCACGTGATGTAGAAAATTTGGTTCAGGCCGGCGCCAAATTACAAAAGAAAAACTATCGTGTCTCGAAAGAACAACATTAATGTAATTTAATCTAAATGAAATTTAAGTGTTATACTATTATATGCGGAATATCCGAAAAGTACTGTCATATTAGCAAGAATTGCGAAATAATTACTTATTTGGTGTGGTCATTTTAATAATATATTGATATAATCTAGGTATGTCCTATGGTGTTTAGGAAATAATAAAAAGAAAATACGGCAGACTCTCTTTAATCCGACGTATATGGAACCGGCAGTGTCGGATTACTGGATTTTACATGCGTGTATTGTATGCGTTGTACAGTAAAAACCACACTTGGTTCACAGATTAATGTATCATATTAATCAAGATTGTTACTGTTCTGCCCACTTGCAACAAACAACTAGCGACCGGCAGTACTGTACTGTACTGTACATGCTTACTCTACATTAGTTTGTTACATACATGGTATTTGTTGACAATATTTCAAGTAGCAAGTAATGATTATTATTTATTTCTTACAATTAACGATGTTGTATTACTATTATTATAATTAAACTCCACTTTAATAAGAGCGCGAACCCACGACAAGTGTTTAGTAGTTTTATCCACTCAGCCATTGATTAGAGGGAAGCGGTCGTTCCTTCTTCAGTGAATACAGTTAATAATACATTGAATAATTAATATTATTATTAAATTCTGTCTTTTAGGGACCGTCCATTAATTACGTGTACATATATAAGAAGAGAGAGGTTGCCAAAGTCATCAATGTATTGTACCGGATAGGAAAGGATGTGGGCATTGTCTATATGAGCTTTTTAGTGTTATTAGTCGCGTACGGATTTATTCTTACAAATCTATTTACTGGACACATGAATAATCTACCAGTCAGAAAATACAGAATTTTTAAAGTAACTTTACAATGTCAGGAGGGTCTATGAACTATCGTATACGTAACTAAGCGGGAGGAGGTTTGTCAAAAGTAAATCATCGTACAAAATAAAAAGGGAGAGTCAAAAGTGGCTCAAACACTGCACACGTAACAAGTGGACTGACCCTTAAAAGAGTAGTGTGTATTTAATGTTGCATAAATTTCATATTAAACTTAGAATTATGAAACGTTTAAATACGCAATACCTTTACAATTTACTGTTGCTTAATAACATTTTTTAATCAGTAAAAATGTCACGACAGTTTATTTTTTTAATGTTAATATTAAAAACAACAAGAAAAAGACAAGGAATTTCTATTCGATGAGACTTTTCACTTTTAAAAATTCAAAATTTGCTTTAAAATATGCAAGAAAAAACCTAAATGTTAATATAAATACTAATTTCTATTGGTATTCATTTATAACATAATTAATTAATTAATAATATAAATAAATTTCTACTCTCAATATTTAGAAAAATCAAGAGCATTTTGAAATTTTTAAGTTTTAATTTCTTGTCTGTTATTTAATATAACTGCAAACAGATGGCGATACAAGTGTAAAGAACTTTATTATTAAAAGTTTGGTTGAAAATACCTTAAATTTTATTTAACCTTTGACCTTCATTTTTCATAATTCTAATCGTATTATGTAAATATGTAAAATTACTTGTCTTGACTGACTGACTGAGTCACCGATTCATTCATCATCGCCCAGAGCAAACCGTTGAACCTAAAGAGGTGAAATTTTGTACACAGTTAGGGTACGTCATGAAAACACACACTAAGAAGGGATTTTTCGAAATTCCTTCGTGGGGGGAGAGGGAGAGGATTAAGCCTTAACCTGAAGAACGGTTTCTACTGTACTACAGTATTTTAGATGCGATTTTTTGTTTTCAACTATGTTTAGTCTTTATTGAGTACTTAGGTGTATTAAATTGATAAAAATATTTATAATAATGTCTGAATTGTTATTTATTTCGATTTTGAAAACGTTCGAACCGTTTTAAATTCGAATTTGTTATTGTATATTGGTTCGATTATAGAACGATTGTAAACGTTCCAGAAAATTGATCAAATTGAAAATAGTTCGTTTGATTCTCGGCAATTCTCATCATTCTCAGCGGTAGATGTTTACTATGGTTGTTGAAATACTGAATATAAATGCTTGC